GTCGGCGTTGTAAGCTGTGTTTTTAGCCCAGAACCAGCACCCGCCTCCCCCCAAACTTATTCAAGCCACCCAAAACCACACACAAAACCCCTTTGGTCTGTCCTCGGTTGTTAAGTGAATTTGTTGCCCATTTGCATCTAGATGATGATTGCCTCTTGCGAAGGCCTGTTGGACACTTTCGATAATGCTGAAATGACTCTGAAAATCATAGAACAGGATTTAGTAAGATATGGGGATTTTTGTTATAGAAATAACTCTATTATATATCATTTATAATTATATTGTAATATAATACATCATTATTATATGATTAATTCAAGGGAAGTTTATTCTTTCACAATGTGATCCCTTCTTAACCTCTTCTAATAAAAATCCCCTTATTAAAGTAAATAAATGAATTACCCGTATTATCCAAAGTTCAATATTTTTATGTACTTTACCTAAGTTCAGTAAAATCCCCGTTTAAAGTCAAGTTTAAAAAACAGTTCTTTTTACTCAATCACATTTGCATTAAATTGTTTGAAATTGAATACAGAAGTGGAAATATACATAAGATATATATTCTTAGTTTCCTCCTAATTAATTGTTTACATTATAAAGTTTAATTATAATGTTCTAATAATGTAAATTTATAATTTTTAGTCTGTGCTCCTGAATCTACTTTATATAAAAATCCATTAATAAACCCAACTCTGCTCAGCAACAAATGAATCCCCCTTGAATACCAAAGTCTTCAAGATCTCCAGAAATTCCTGCCCCCAACGAAGAATCGCAATTAGCCAACCGTAGCAACTTTCTTTTTCATTGCGGATAATGCCAACCTTGAGAAATGTCTAAATTTACCAAACCGGACAGAACCCCGTCATCCGGTGGGAACAAAGTATGGGGGGCAGTGCAGAAATTCCCTTAGCCACGCTAATTTTGGCGGAGCAACAAATTATTGCGTTTAAAAATAATTTCCCTTAAAAATAAACTTAATGAAATAGCGCGTGATGTGCAATTGACACGAAGCTTGGTAGCTGGATTGCTCCAGGGATTCCAGCGGCTACTGTCTGCCCTGCACGCACTGAGCCCGAATCCGGATTGAAACCGAGAGATTGGGAGTACAGGGAATGGTCGAGTAAACCCATAATTATCCGTAGGCACCGGCTTCGTGTCATGAGAAAACGTTTATGGCACAGCAAAAGCTCCAATTTGCCTGGGCAGACTTTTTCGCAGCTGCCGCTGGTGGTGGGCCCCAACCCCCAAAGAGATCGAGGTGGGCATTATAATTAATCAAGAAATGTATGCGCAGAAATCAAAAATAATCATCAATGCCTCATCGCACTCGCACTCGCACTTGGTTGAACTCAGGCTGACGCCCGAGGTGTGATGAGAAAGTGTTGCAGTTATTGAAAGCCATGGCCCAGGGCCAATTCCCGCTGATGACAGCCAACGACTCCGGCGTCAAGTGTCCGACATTATCGCACTCATCATCATCATCATCACCATCGCCAGCACCAGCACCATCCTCCCATCCATTCCCACAGCCATTGCCATCGCGATAGCCCAAACAACAAGGCGCAACAATTTGGCATTACAAGGAAATTGCAGTCGATATTAGCTGAAAGGGGCCCAAAACTTGAAACCGAACTGGGCTCCGAGGTACCGATGGGCCGGTCTCCTTGTCTCGCACCATTTAATTAGATGCCGCGTCAACAAGGTGCTAAATGGGCTGCCATTATGAAGCTGCCAAGGAGCTAAGGCTAAGGCCGCGTGGGCTGGGCGGATGCTCCAACACACCGTGAGAAAATGGAGTTCCAAAAGGAATTATTTTGACTTACCTACCTATGTAGGTCTTAAACTAAACAAATATTGTAAAATCTAAATATTATATATTACCTCATAAAGACTTGTAAAAAGTTTGAAGCTCACAATAAACCTCTTCAGAAAAGGACTCAAAGGACTCCAGTGCTCTAGAACAGTGGCGCCCTATACCATGCTCGTGAGTCTGCCTCTTCACCATCCTACTTGCAATGCAATGCAATGTAGGAATTCTACATTCATTGTTTATAAAGAATCTTAAAGTTAGCATACTACTGACCGTCTTCTGAAACACCTATCCATATAAGCCAGCTGTGACCTAAGAATTTCCCCAGCTTATCCCCACTTATTTTTCTCAGTACATTGATGCAACCTCACTCCTGTTACCCAAAAAATGAAAGCTAACCGGGACTGCAACCAGCTGTCGGAGGAGCAGCTCCACCCGGGGGCATAAGTTGCTCTCGATGTTCGATGTGCTCACCTTGTTGACTCCTCTTCCGTCCGTCTGTCCGTCTGTCCGTCCGTCTGTCCGGCAGTGCTGATTATGCAGAGGTGATAATTGCAGTGTCCGGCGCGTCAAGATTTATTTTTTGAGCTTTAACGATGTGTTAAAATAAATTGCATATGTGCATGGCGAGCGATCTGGTATGGTTTTGGTTCGCACTCTCCTCGTGAAAACCCACAAAACGTCGCGCCTGTGTACATAAAAGTTTAATGGGCGCCTGCTGCATCTGCCGGGACAGCCCTGTCGCCGGGTGCCGGGCAAGGTGTTGTGGTATGGCAAAAGAGGCCCATTTTATCATACACCAACCAGCGTGTAATTGCGAGCGGACTTATAAAAATATCAGGCAGGGAGTGTGCCTGCCCATAAATCGAATATGTATAAAGACTTTCTAAAAAAACGCAGATTTATTGACCAAGCCAAGTTCAATCCTTGTGCGTGTCTCTTCTGCCTTTTTTTTCTTTTGGCCAACTAACGGTCGGCGCTGCGATCGTAATTCAATATCGACCATATATTGTAGATGCAGAGTCCCCAATCTAACCTCAAAAATGTCCGTCTGCCTTCCAGTGAATTCTGCTTCACCTCTGGCCAAAAAGATTTCTTCGGGTAATCGGATCCCGGCGAGGATATCGTATGTATTTTTTCGACTTGCCTGTTGCGTTTTTCTGCCTAATCAGTCGTGAATAATTTGCAGCTACTGTGTACGCCCGAAGATCGAGATCGGGATCGGGCTGGGGATCGGGATTGGGATGGAGCTGGGGATGGGTATGGGTATGGGTCTCCTTCCGCTTGGGTAAAGCGTGTCTGCAACATATGGCTCCCACTCCATCCGCCTGTCTACAGCTGTAAAAAGTCTGGCACTGACTGCACTCTGCATTTCTCGAACACTTTTTCAGCACAGCCGTTCTTTTTTTGGGTGTAGCACGTGCTTTCAATGTACACTTGACACCAGAATCAGAGTTCAATTTTTTTTGGGGACAGGAAGTCAGACAGAACAAGTGGCTATGAATCAGGGAAAAGCGTATAGGAAGAGGAATCTTAAGTGAACTGTTAAAATATAATCTAAACTATGTATGTTTTATTCAGAATTTGAAAATACTATCATAGTCCCATACAAAGGATGTATAGGTTGCCACCATCAACAAGCTTAACCAGAAACTGTTTAAAAATCTCTGGATTAGGCAAACCCAAACCCATTGACCACTCAGAATGCTCAACTCGCTCAGTCTCCAGATTGGCCTTTGTTTTAATCGCACTTTTCCCCGAAATTCGCAGCTTTTGCTTTTGTCCATCATCAATCCGGCACGGATGCCACCAACGAAGTTGGTCAGAACCAACAGCCAACAGCCAACCTCCAGCTGCCATTAGGACATCCGTCCAGCTCACTTCCACAAGAAATTCGGCAAATCATGAAAGCTCACGATTCTTAGAATCGAGCCAGCCTAGAAACTCTATCTAGTCAGAGGAGACCGAGCCGGCGAGGGCAGGCGAGAGCGCTCATTGATTTTCGAGGCGGCTTTTTGATCTTCCACCGATCGTATCCATGGGATTGATCGACTGCCAGAGCAGCCCATCGACAGCTGTTTCGGCAGCGGACGAGGTCGTGGCCAGTGGCTGTGGTAGTGGAAGGAAGGTCTCAAATCGCGAAAAAGGTTTGAAAGCTTGCGCATGCGCCAAACGTTTGGCCAACAATAAACCCTTTTTTTGGGCCAGTTGGCCTTGCCGGGAACTAAATGCCGATTGCCAACTGCTATTGTATTTATGCTCCAAGTCTATCAGCTGTGCTCCTCCAAACGTAGGGTAAATATTATATTTCATTCATAAATCAAACAGTTTTCTTTTTGGTTTTTGTGAAATATTACAAAATTACCAAATAATTGAAAATTTGGTGGAGAGAAAGCCATTTTTGTAATTTATGTAGTAGGGTTAATGAGTATAAAGTTTATGTTATATAATATACTATTTTATAATATATTTTTGTATTATTTTATTTTATGCTATATAACAATAAATCGTACAACTAGAATTTGTTGATAAAGAAATAGTTTCCAACTGACTCTAGAATTTACATCGAGAGTGTTATTTTTATACGCTTTGTATAACCTTATATTCAAATTCAAATTTAGCTTAGTTCAGTTTAAGTAGAGCTAGGATCTTAATCGTACTAATTACAAATAGATAAGACGTTACACTTCGTAAAGAATTCATTTATTGAAAAATTTTTCAAAATAAAAAAATTTTAATAGATAGTGGCGCCATCCCAGTATTTTGCGCGAAATTTGAATCTTAAAAATAACGGCTTCAGTTAATTGGTTTTGATGCATCGCCGCTAGAGGTCGTTTTACTTTACAGTAAAAAAAAATGTAAAGTTACTGAAAATTGTTTTCATTTTATTTTATTAATAATAATGTACTTTAAAATAATAAAAAAGTCATGTTCTTGATTGCTTAATTTCAAATTAATTATGAGTATTATGCGAGTAAAATTTTCTTAAGATTGTAGAAATTCATATTACAAGAATTTCAAGATAGAAGCTAACTTGAAGTTTATAATTGTAATTCATTAATTTTTAGAATCGGTCTTAAGTACAGAAAATTTGCATTAATTTATACTCGGAAAGCGAGCTTAGCTGCCATAATATTAATTAATTTATAAAATTAATAGATCCCTTTAAATGAATACACATATTAGCTTCTTAGATGGTTTTCCTTTTATAAATCGTTTTGATACATGATTCTTAATCAAAAATCTAGCAGAAAATAAATGCTAAAAGGTATAAAAATTTGCATAATAACCTAAAAATAGCCGGGGAAAGTTGGAAGGAAGCAAAGGTTGGGGGAAATGGTTTTTAACAATGCTCGTTTTCATATTCTGGCAATACATATAAGCATTGCATATATGTACATAGACGACAAATGAACTAAGCAATTAAATAAATATCAATATGTTTGTGTTCCGCTTTCGTTCGTTTAGGATTCAATTTAGTTCTCAGTCCTGGCTGGAGAGGAAGGAGAGCTGCTCACAGCAGGCGAGCCAGCCAGTCGGTGAGCGGATTCAGCTCAGAGTCCTTGGCGGAGGCCTCCACAAACTGAATATTCTGTGTGATGTGTGAGAACTCAAAGTCGCGTCCCGGCTTGCCCAGGGTGATGGGTTTATTTACGTCGTCGTCGCCCACGGACTGCAGCTTGCGGCTCCTGGTGTCGCGCACTGTGTTCAGCTCCTTCTCCAGCAGACTCTTGATAACCTGTGCGCTCTTTGCAGTGGTCTGATCCTGCTTGTTGCAGAGCACCAGGACGGAGCTGGGCTGAGTGGCACTGTCCGCAAGAATGGTATACAGGGAACTATGAAGATAGTCAGATTAGCATGGTTTATGACTTGTAAAACGGTTTAGAAACTCACTCAGCCACATCGCGAATGTCCTTCTGGACCGTTACCGAGTCCACCACGAAGACAATGCCTTTAGCGCGGTGCTTGTACAGCTCGAAGCACTTGTCTCGCACCCGGTAGTGGCCGGGAATGTCCACTAGCCTGGCTGTCGAGCTGCCTGCTTGGTAGTCGCCTACATTTTCCTTAATGGAGGTGAAGGTGGTCGGGAACTTGCCGTGGAGCAGCTGCATGAATATGGCACTTTTGCCGGACTCACTCAGTCCGGTGAGAAGGAAGTCCTTGCGGCCAGCCGAGCGGCGTCTAAAGATGACAAAGATGGCTAGGGAGCAGAATTTAATTTACATTTAATGTCCAGGTCCAACTGAGACTCCCGGGGACCAAAGTCAACCAACCACGTGACCTACTCACCGACGGCAATGAAGACCAGTAGCAGGGCCACCAGGATGGGGCTTGTGTCGATCTCTCCCAGCTTGATCTGCTTCCGCTCGCGGGCATTTTCATTTAGTTTGTCCATTTTCGGCTAACAAAAACTAAACAAATCGGAATCGGGGGAAAATGACACGCATACACACGCCGAGTGCTTTACAACACTGGTCTTCTGAATAGTGCTGCGAGGCTGCGGTAGGCTAAGCCCGCGGTATTTAAATATCATTGTAGACAACTAAATTCGTCTTTGAAAATACATTTAATTTGCGTGATTTTTATATTACAAGATTGGGACGTTACAATGTAGTGATGATGCGTGTGAAGCATAGCGGACTATAACAAAGTACATAGTTTAAAGTGTCGGGCGCCTTTTAACAGCTAAACTAGATGAAGCAATACTCCGGATTGGCTCACGCACCGCGGTTTTTTACCAATCCGTAGAGGAGCTTGAAGGTCAGGTTGCAGGAGAAAGCCCAGGCGGGCACGGAAATCGCATTGGCCACGCCGGTGGGAAAACTGAGAAGCCCCGTGAACGGCGCTAAGCTTATGCTATCGTCGATTACTAGTACAGGCGTACCACGATTCCGAATGCTCACGATCACTGTGATCAGGGAAAGTAACACCTTGGAGACATAGAAAGCCGCCGTGTCAATGCCCATGCGCATCAGGTGCTCGACGCCACGAGCGGACTTCAGCTTGGCCTCCGCCTCCGACACTTTTCGCTCGGCGCGCATAATTTTGATGGTCCTAGCATACTCTCCGGAATGCTCCGCATTGCGTACCTCTTCCACCTGCTCACGGGCCAAATCCACTTCCTTTTGCAGTAGATTCAGCTCCGAGGAGTTCCTGGCGACCCACAGACGTGATACTTTGAGCTGTGGTGCAGGAGTATGGTTATATTTAGGCGGATTTAACGGGCATGGTAGACACTCACGTAGTTCCGTAAAAAGTCCGGCAGGATTGTGTTCAGCAAACTAAGCAGCGCGATTAGGACAAAAAGCGTCATGGTTTTAAGTCAGTTTGTTATCCAATTAGGGGAAATATGCTGACAGTTTGTGGATTTTTGTGAAGAAAAACAAAATAGTAAAGACAGTGTTGGAAGGCGTTGCAATGAGAATCAGCTGAAGAGGTGTAACTTTTTTCTGAGCAAAAAAGCTGAATCAACGAAAAAAAAGCTAAAAAATCTAATAGTTAAGAAAGAAGCTGATTTTTATAAGGCAATGTGCTGTATGTTTTATTATTTATTAACTCTCCGTTCAATAAGAATTAAGAATCAGTTGGATAAAAATTCAACTGTTCAATTGTAGATAGGCAGCAGGGTGGTAGAATGTAATTAAACCTGCACTTATTGTGTCGACACATCCCATACCTACAATTTTTAGTAAGTTGATTTCTAATTTGAAAATAAAAATAAATTTAAATATGGACCTTATAGTTAGTATAGCGTTTGACGTTTCAAAACGCTCATGCTATTTCGAATTTTTGTTTTAATTAAATTTACTTGGTTGAATACCCGCTCGACGTCGGCATTCCACCAAAGCAGGGACTGCATTTGCAGAACAACTGGAGCCAATTCATAAAAACGGCACTTTCAGCCAAAATATCGGTATTTCTGAACTTCAGCCCAGAACTTAATTGTATCATCGACATTATTCCACTCTACCAGGGTTAAGTCAAATTGTTAAAGCGCAAGCGAATTTCACAATGTTGGTGTTGCAAGACGCTCCAATTTAGGTCCGAAATTTAGTGTGAAGTCGTTCGATACTGTCGATAGAAATACATTTGTAACATTTTAGCCATTAAATTCAATTTAAAAATCTCAAAAATTTGAGTAAAAGTACACTAATTAAAAAGCTGCTTAAATTTGCTTAAAAATCCAGAAAATCCGCTGTCCGCTGTTTTCATAATTTTTTCCCGCAATCACACTTCAAATAAATCCAAATCTGACGGGAAAAAAGCGGAAATGACACCACTGCAGTGTTGGGCAACGCCAGCTCCTGCCAGCTGTGCCGGCAAAACAATAACACATTATAAGCGAAGTTTCTTGAATGTTCCACGGATTTGTTGGAACTTTTCTAGTGTCCGAATGAGCCATCACGACCATGGAAGATAGAAACGAAGAGGTAAGACTGGACTCCATCCGAATGGGATAACTTACAAGCGTCTTCCGCCACAGATTGAACCCTGCCGCAGCATAGGGCCCCACGAGTTGGACGTGGTAAAGAGCCAGGCGGTGATCAAGCTGTCGCCTGTTCCGCTGCCCGCGCACTTCAAGCGGCTGGAGTGCAACACGAACCTTAATCTGCCACCGCTCAACTGGCTGACCACATCGCACAGCAGCCACGGACTACACCAGGCGCTCTACCAGAGTGCGGGCTTCGCCAGCTTTCGGCTGGGCCAGATGTTCCCCGACTGCGTGGGCGAAGTGGACGTGGTGAGCGATGCGGAGAATATCAAGCAGCTGCTGAAACTGCCCTACAGCGCCCAGAGCGCCATCAGCATGGTGGTGCACAAGGTGGGAAATACGCTGCTCCTTGACGAGTTTGACATACAGAAGTATCTGCTGCGCAAGGAGGATGACGACTGGAAGTGGCTGCGCACGTTCATACTCGAGCACATCCTGACCTACGGCGACACCCAGCACAACTACTGCCTAAAAGAGAGGTCGCGCGAAGCCCTGCAAACGAAAAACCTGCTCTCGAAGTTCCTGTATCACAGCCTGAAGCAGACCGGCGAAGAACTGGACTACGATGTGGCCACTACGCCCACGCAGCTGACCAGCAGGAGGCATGGTCTGCCCATCACGGGTCCGGTTTTGCCCGAGCCTAAGATCGAGGAAAATGTGCCCGATCCGAAATCCAGTCATGCCTTTAACAGAAACGTGGTGTGGACCTTCGAGGACATACGCATGCTCATCGGCACCGATATGCCCATCTTCGGCGGACCCAACAGGCCATGTATCAGCCTGCGGTTGAGGGACGCCGCTCAGCCCATCAACGTACTGACTGGCATCGATTATTGGCTAGATAATCTCATGTGCAACGTGCCCGAGGTGGTGATGTGCTACCATTTAGACGGCATTGTGCAAAAGTACGAGATCATCAAGACTGAGGATCTTCCCTACCTGGAGAACTCGCAGTTCTCGCCGCAGGTGGTCCGTAACGTGGCCCAGAATATCCTGGCCTTCCTAAAGGCTAACGCCACAAAGGCGGGGCACACGTACTGGCTGTTCAAGGGGCGCAACGATGACGTGGTCAAGCTGTATGACCTCACCACTCTCTGCCAGAGCCAGAGCCAGGCGGCCGAGAAGTCCGAGGGCGATCCGCCGCAGCAACAGGTCAATCCCTTCACAGTTCCCGTTGGCATGCTGCTGTATTCGGTGGCCCGAAACATGAAGAACACGCTGCCACGCATCAGTCCTAAGGCCGCTGGCAACATACGCGCCCTTCTGGACAACTGCATCAAGCTGCTGCCCAAGGAGCAGTATCCACAGATTGTTAGCTCCTCGCATTACATCCTTTCAGATCTGCATGTGCCAGCGGGCATTGATCCCAAGGCGCCCAAGTTCGAGGAGGATTCTGACGACCAGTCCCTATACGACGACGATGAAGAGGACGATGAGGATGACTATGAGGATGATCTTCTCAACTGCGACTATCCTAGTGAGAAAAGCTACCAGAGTAGCGAGCAGGGTGGAGGTCGGGCCAACGTCGCTGTCCGCCACATCTGCGACGCCCTCAGGGACTTTAAGTCGCACGCCAAAAAGGCGAAACCAGCCCCGCTCTTAGCCACGACTGCCGAGCGATGCAGCATATCGCTGGAGCACATTAGCTCAGGGCTCTCTTGCCTACAGTACTTCAATGGCAGCCAGGAGGAGAAGCTGAAGGAGTCGGAAACGCATGCAAAGCAGGAGGAGAAGCAGCGTATTCTGCATGAGGAGCAGAATCCCAATATGGCCAAACCGTTTAGTGCCATCCCACTGCCCTACGAGCAGCTGAAGCTCAACCAGCAGGAAGCGGTGTCGGCATTGAAGAAACCAAGTTCCAAAGCCAAGCGGAGCAAGTCCAAGGAGCTGACCACCACTGCCAAAGCCAAATCAACAACTGCCAGCAATCGGCAGCTGAGCGCCAAATTCAACACCCAGCACTTTGGCTCCTGGAACGTGCACCTTAAGCTGCTGCTACTAGAAAAAGCATGCCTAACGTTCGCCACCCTTGCGGAACAGTACTACGAATCGCGCAGCTACGGTTCCACACTGCGCTCCATAGAACTGGCCTGCCGTTGCCAGCAGGTGCTCAACAAGTACATGGCCAATGTGGTTTCCCAGTACAGTTGCTTACTGGGTCGCGCTGGCGATTGCTTCTTTCAAATGTCCAAGCACTGGGAAGCCATCGAGGAGTACGAGCAGCAGTATGAAGAGCAAGATAAATCCATGGGTGTTATTAACAAGGAGCTTGCACATGAGCTGGAGGGAGAGGAGGAGGAGCTTCCAAATTTGGCCCCAGTTAAGAACGTGGAACAGGTGATGCTGCACAGCTGCAAGTGCTACGAGTTAGCCCTGGAGCATGCCCAGAAGGCGGAAAGCAACGAACTGCTCAGGAGACTGGGAAACGTTCGGAATGAACTGGGCCTGAAGTACATGTACTGGGCGCAGGGTAAATTGTGGATTTATACATTTCGTCTTCTAGATCTAAACCGTATTCTATTTTTTAGAGGAATACAGCGAAGTGATGAAGAAGAAGGAAGTTGTCAAAGTTGCAGGAGATAGTCAGTTGGAGGAAACACCGAGCTCTGAGTCAGCTGATCCTCTCTACGTAAAACTAACTGTCAATTCTTATGACTGCCTGCGTCGCGGCATCGAAGCCTTCACTACCGTTCAGGACAATGTAAACCTGGCTTTTCTGTACTGCAACATGGGCAGGTTTATGCGCCTGCGGGCCCATCTCACCATGCCTAATGAGAGGTAAGTGTTGAATACACCAACTGATTCAGATCAGGACTAACCAGCTTACCCTAGTGCCATCGCCTTGGACACCCAAAAAGCTTTCTATAACGAGGCCTTCAACTATTACGAGAAGGCCAAGGATTGCCTGGACACAAGAAAGGCCAATGCCGAGCTGTGGGACCTTGTCCACTGGGAACTGTCCACTGCCACCTTTACTTTAGCCAAACAATTGCAAGACTACAGCACAGCTGAAAAGACCAGCCTCGCAGAGGCCTCCAAAGAAGTGCTGGAATTGCTACAGAAATCATTGAAGCTCTGTGACGTAGAGCACCCGGGGGCTCGGCAAGTGCTCTACAGCTTCCGATCAGGTCTGATCCACAAAAGGTAGGGATGTGGCACCTTTGGTCTGCTGGTAGAATGTTTGGTACTAACTAATGCTCTTTCTTCAGGATTGCCTCTTTCCACTACTCGCAACTGCGTTCCCATGGCAGCTGTGATTTTTCTCAACTACCCAAAGCTACTTTGCAGCTTTGCAAATATCACTATGAAAAGGCCACACAGATACTGGAGGGCCTCAAGGAGACTGGTGAGTTGCTGGTGGTGCAGCTAGAGCGGATATCCCTGCACGAATTCCTCGCCGAACGTGAGTACTAAAGACTATGGGATGCCACCAAGAAGCACTCTAGCTTATTTCTTTCCACTTACCAACAGTTTCCACGCACACCGCCCAGAAGATCAAGCAAATGCAAGCGGCTTTGGACATTTGCATGCAGTGCCAGCTCATTTTTGCTCACGTCATCGATACTAACAGTGGCCAAGTGGCCGACGATGAGTTCGCCAGCCATTTGACGCTCTTTGAGAGCCGCTTGCAGAACGCTCTGAAGACTCTCACCAAGCTGCTGCTGACCGGCAAGGATCCTAAACAGCTGTCCAAGCTGTACAAGCGCATGTATATGGAAACCTTGACTGGGAAACATGGCACAGGGGCCCAGCAATTGCCGGCAACTAGCCCAAAGCATTTGCACACGCTGCTGGCCCGGCTGCGTGCCATGTGCGACGCTCAGCTGGCCAGCGACTAGCCGTCCGTACGTGTCTTCTGATGGTTTTCGCCCCCCAGAGCCCACAACCGATCAAATTGTATGCATTGCTTGTCGCTTGTTTATTGATGTCTCATCTCAGCCCCGCCGCCCGCAGCCGCATTCATCGCTGTCGCGGTCCAAGTGCTCCGCTCCCAACTGCAAAGCAGCCAGCATCAGCATCAAAGCCACCTGTAGGATCTGCAAAGAGAAAGAGAGAGAGAGAGATGTAACCACTGATGATGATGAGACCGCAATCAGTTAATCACACCTTGCAGCGCAGACTTTTCATTTTGTGAGCCCGTTTTCTGTGCTGGCCATCGTCGGCTCGGCTCTTATAAAGTCTGAGGGCCTCCGCCCAAACGTGTCGCTCATCTAGATTATGGCCCTGTTAAATATCTTGTCCAACAAGCTGGCAATATCGGACTAGCGCTGTATGACTCCATGGATGATGGAGAGAGTCCGGCACTCTTGAGCGGATTCTCTCTTACATCTTTTACGCCCCGAATTCTGTTAATATTTAATATTTATCATGTTTTCTTAGATATTCTTCAGCCTTACAATAACAGTTTTACTTAATTCCTAAGAGCAAAGCCAACAAACAATAAAAAATAAAATCTTAAAGAGTAAATGCATCCGGAGAAAGAACAGTTTCATCCGTCCACTGGCTGCTGCCTGCTGGATGCTGGGGCCCTGAGCCTGAACAACATTTAAATAAGTAATTATTCATTATTAAGCCATTCATAGCGCCAGCACTAGAGAATTATAAAAAGCTTAGCGCGGCAGTTTGAAAAGTCGAACGAACGAACAGTTTAATTGTTTATAATTTTATTGTAATTTTATCTCGACTTTTTTTGCTTTTGTATATAAATTGTACCAACGCAGCAGAAAGTTCAGGCCACTGCCTTGGCCGCGATGTGTCATTGAAAAAACGGTGCCAAGCTCGCCGCACGGTGGGTCAAACTGGCCAAAAAACTGGGTACAAACTATGCGGATCCAGAGCACGAAGAGTCATGCTCTCGGAATCTTACGTAATGGGCTAGTGTTGGGGGGTGTTGGTCTCGTCTCGTCGTCGCAGACTGTGGCGTAAGTACACTATCTGGACCGGGGCCGAATTGAGAGCCGTTTTTGGCCAGAACCCGAGCTCTGGCCTGGCTGCACGTCTCCGGCGGCGTCTCAAGATTGCCGGACAAAGAGTTGTGCCGAGACTGAGACCTGGAGCTGCGTCTCCGGGTGCCCCGGCGACGTAGAGAGCCGAAACTTGCATCACTTTCATTACGTAACCGTTTGACATTTGCCTGGATCCGACGTATAAAAACAAAACAGTTCCCATGCTGTGACATTAGTTACTTTCGCTTCGATCAACTAACCAACTCAGCCTCAGAATGATGAAGTTCATGGTGAGTTTCAACAGGCCAAATCCCTAGATGGATCCTAGAGATCCTAGATCTATATACCTATCCTGTTTCAAACATCATAGAAATCAACATTAATTGTGGTTTTATTTTCCGTCTCTTAGTGCATTTGCATCTGCGCCATTGCTGCCGCTTCGGCCAGTCCCTATGGAGGATCCCGCGGTGGATACGGTGGTGCCCCAGTCGGTGGCTATGCCTACCAGGTGCAGCCTGCTCTGACCGTTAAGGCCATCGTTCCCTCGTACGGCGGCGGCTACGGTGGACACCACCAGGGCGGCTATGGCGGCAGCTACCAGTCGGTTCCTGTTGCTGCCTACAGCGGCTCCGGCTCTGGCTACCACGGCTCCGGATACGGCGGTGCCCCGCCAGTAGACCGAGAGGCCATTGCCCTGGCCAAGCTCGCTTTGGCTGCTCCCAGCGCCGGCCGTCCTCTGGTCTGGAAGGAGGGACCCCGCTATGTGGAGCGCTCTTATGAGCCCAGGGCCTATGGACACCGTCAGGAGTACGCTCGCGGTGAGGAGGCCAAGGGTGCTTCTGCCGCGGCTGCCTCCAGCTCCGTGGCTGGCCAGAAGGGATACAAGAAGTCCGCCTATTAAGCGGGAAACCCAAAAGAACAGTGATCCAGTTACTTACCTAAGCAACTAGGCCTAAATAATAAAGCCAAGAAACATCAAGACTTAAACTGAGAATGTGTGTTTATTTTGTAACTTAATTTTTTTATTTTATTTTATTTATATACTTAATTAATAATTGGGCAATTTGTGCTGCTTTGCTTTGCTGACTAGATTTTTGCCAAGCTTAATATGTGAGACTTTGAGCCAACGAAAATGGGCTTGGTCTGGAAATGAATTGAAAAAGCTGGCCAAAACTATTTAACTTGGTGTAGGTTGAAAAGTTGAGCATGAATTTATGCGGTTTTCACATATTAAATTAATTTTTTGTTAGCGGTCATATACTTTTTAAGATTTAATGTTAGAGAGAGAATGTTTGGGGCTTCTTATTTCTTAAATTTACAAGATTGATTTAGTTATTTGCAAGTAATAAGGTGCCTAGCTTACCAATTTATTTAAATTTAATTTAAAAAATATTACAAAGATTTTATATTAATAATATATATGATGCAGAGTAAACTTTATTCTCAAAATATATTTCATCTCCACATTATAGAAATTTTTGCCCAGGAACCAAATTGCTTGTAGTTAGTTCTAGAACATCTCTGCCTATAGTTTTACACGTTTTCCGGGCACAACCTATCCGTGAAGCATTACCCCCAAGAATGTGAAAAACGGAAAGTCTAATACAATTAAATTCGGAGTTTATTTTAAAAACAAAACGTTCATAAGTATCCGTTCAGAGAGAGAAGAAAGAGTCGAGTGTGAGTGTGCTTTCGTGAAACTATCAATACCCGTGGGACTCAGGCCCGGGGTTCGGCTCCGGAACAATGTATAGATCGCGTAACCAAGCGATTTTATAATGGCACATGGAAATACATAAATCAAATGTGAGTATATTCAATTATGAAATGCGGTTTCGGGCTGAAATGGAGCAGTAACTAGCGTTTATATAGGTCACGTAGATATCCAGGCTGGGAAAATTAACGTATAAAAGCGGGCGTCGGCTGTCCGGTAAATCATAGTTTGATTGATTACCCCAAACCAACAAAACTAACTAATTCACCATGAAGTACCTGGTAAGTTATGAGCACACTACCAAAGGAAGTGGCAGCCAGCTAATCCTCCCGCTATCCTTAGATCATCTGCGTCTCCCTGGCCCTCTTCGCCTACATTAACGCCAGCCCTGTGTACGGCAACCGTGGAGGATATGGTGGTGGTTATGGCGGCATCCAGCGCGTCGTCTACGAGGAGGAGCGTCCCTACGGCCGTGGCTACAACCACTATGGTCCCCGTGAGCTCAGGTCCTACGGCGAGCAGCCCAGGGCTGCCGCTGCTGCCTCTGCTGCCGCCGCCGCCGTGAACCAGGGTAGCTACCGCTCCTACGCCGTCCCCAGCTACGTGATCGATGGTGGTGATGTTGGTCACCGCGGTGGACACTATGGACGCAGTGGATACTAAGTCGAACTATCGAAGCAATTTGTTCAGTTCCTCGAGTGGCTGTCAAAGCGAAACTCTGAGAATCGGCGAATAAAAGAACACCTTGAACGCAATGGAAAATATTGAACAAAAATTACCATATTGAGTCTTGTATTCTGCGTGGGCGGTTTATAAATACTATTTTGTGGCATACTTTTCAGCGTTATTGGCTAAAGACTGTGGGCTTGTCTGGGAGTTTTATTCCAGGCACCTGTTGAGCTTTGAAAAAAAGTACACAGCCAAAAAAAGGGGGATAGACAAAATTTAATGACAGAAACTGAGGTTAAAGCTTAATTGAACTTCAGTTCTACTTATAGTTATCAAATAAACATTCAAACAATCATCAAATTGTAAAGGTGAGGAACTAAAGAAAAGTTGTGACTATAAACTCCACATTGCCAAAGTAAACTTATTTTCAAAGATTGGTTTGTTTTTGTGAGGTTTCTTTTAATTTTAATTAACAGTTGACCCCTTTTACTCTACAATTTATAATAATATGAAAACAAATGAATTCAGTAACTTTTATTTATACTACAATATATTTTCATTTGCATTTTAGTAAATTTTCTGGATAGTTTTCCACTTTGTGTGGTGACATAAAAAGTATAAGTTAATATGTATTAATAATTTATTAAGCAAAAGTTAAACGAATCTGGTATTTGTTAGGTTCAAAAGTGATTTAAGTGCAGATAATAGGAGATCTTGGACAGAATTAAGTTCTTATTTTGGTTCAACCACAAATCATTTCATATTTTGAATTGAGCTAAAAATAATAGACTTTGTTTATTATAAACAAAATGATTTTGCCTACCATTGATGAGTAGATCTAAAGATCAGCACAGCCTAAACTATAATCAGAGATTAAGTTATACATTAAATAGTTTTCTAAAATTAATTATTTTCCCAAGAAATAATTAAGCTACAGAGTTTAATAATGTAGCTAATTTAAAAGTTATACAGAGTGCTTGAGAACTTAAAAGTCTAAGCCATTAAGAGTTAGCTTCCCAAGAAAATGCTACATTTACATCCAATCCCACTTTCTCTGGCAGCAGCAGTTGGGTCTAAGTCTTCTGGGTCCCGCAATTTGGCTTCCGGGTTTCACGCATCCCCGGCCCAATGGACCCTTCACCATCACTATGGGGTCATCCGCATCTTCCGCCCCCAATGAAGGTCGGCAGCCAAGTGTCTGTATCATTGGCAGTTAACAAACCTGGCCAGCAAACCGAGCAACCTGCTCAATCCAAAACGAGTCGAGCGCCGAGCGGCGGTATCTTTGGCTAGGGAAATGCGAAAAACTCGCAGAAAGTCGCCCAGCTAGCTGGCCGAGAAGAGCCGGAGCAGCGAGCTCTTGAGCCGTGATAATTTTCTGGGCGAGATCACGTTTCGAGTGCAACAATTATTTTGCTTATATAAAGAAGTGTGCTTGCCACTTAATTTGTTAATTGTGCCAACTGTGCCGAAACCCAGACAGCATAGCCATGAACAAGTTCGCTGTAAGTAGACTGGCGTCCCTGAAGACTTCCCTGAAGACTTCCCCATGATTCCCGTGACTGTCGGATCTCCTAACCCACCGTTCTGACCCTCTTTTGCAGACTCTCGCGGTTCTCTTCTGCGCCTGCATTGTGGGCAGCTGCTACGCCAACTACGGTGGCTACGGACACGGTGGCTACGGCCAGGAGAGGTCCTCTGCATCTGGTGGTGCCGCCTCCGCTGCCAGCTCGGCTGCTTCCTCCGGCAACGAGGGTCGCAACTATGAGCGCCCCGTAGAGATCATCGCCGGCGGACACCGTGGAGGCTATGGCCAGGAGATCCTACGTCCCATCAACATCGGCAGCTACGGACACGGACACGGTCGTCGTGGTCCCAGCTATGGTGGCAACAACTACAACCGTGGCTATGGACCCCGCTGGACCGTCCAGCCCGCTGGCGCCACCCTGCTGTATCCCGGACAGAACAACTACCGCGCCTACGTCTCGCCCCCGGAGTACAGCAAGGTGGTCCTGCCCGTCCGTGCCGCCGAGCCGGTGGCCAAGCTGTACGTGCCCGAGCACGGATACGGCCAGGAGTACCGCGAGCGCCCCTACGGTGGACACCGCGCCGCTTACTAGGCGGATACTTAATCCCAGCCATAGGCCCACCAGGCGGTTACTTGATATGAGCCTGGATGTGTACATAATAAACCAAGAATGAGAAAACATAAACAATTTTTCGGTCAAATTAATTTTCGGGGGTTCTATATCTCGGGAAATATAATTTTCGGGTTTTGTAGCTCAATTGCAGCTGCTGCAGCTGCTTAAGCCACTTGATTGCAGCTCCCCTCGGGAATGTCTTTGAGTGACATGAGTGACCGGAGGCAGAGCGGCGAACGTGCTCCGGATTTGTTTACTCCGTTTGACTCGAAGCGGGATGCCGCCGGAGGAGGAGGAACGGAACCGTTAGCATTCAATTGCCAATTCAGTCGGTCAATAATCTTGCGGCGGGAAAGTGCCAGCGGTTCGCCGATTGCCGCGCATATTTTCTGACTGGTAAGCAAACATACACATCTGCTGACTTTGTTTGGCCCAAAGAACTCTTGGCCATTGCGCCACCTTCGCTTGACATTCGAGCCACTCGATTCAAGCTGTGAATCATGCCGAGAATTCTTGGCTCGACTCTGGCACAGTTCAAGAGAAATTTAAAGACTAAATTGTGTCGGCATTATTTCTGAGATTTTTAAAGTAAGCCAAGCTGTTGTTGTGTTATTTGATACTGAAATACTAAGAGATTTTTGAGTATTTAATTATATCTAATGATACTGTTAATAGATGGTAATATGATAATATTGATGCATTCAAGATTATATTTGGAAATTATTATTTGAGATCGTTTTTATAATACATACTAACCTATTTGATTTATTAAAGGGTTGATTGTTTATATCTAAAAATACTGTTAATAGATGGTAATATTATAAACTTGGTACATTCAAGATTATATTTGGAAATTTGCCTGAATAATTATAATTGCAAAGGTTTAATTAATAGTGTTATAGATTATCATTGACTCAAGTTCTGTAGTTTAAGTTTGTGTTTGGATTTTACATAGTTTCTTAAGATGCAATGAAATTCCTAAAAAGTAAATAATAAAATAAAGATATAGATTCTTACTCAAGATTTTTTTAACGATTAAATTGCAGAGTGCTAACTCCCTTACTCAGAATACTCTTTAAGTTGTTCCAAAAATAGTTTGAATAACGATTTTACTTCCAGCTTGGTATTGGGAGTAAAAAATTAATTTAAAGTAAAACTAATTAGAACCGGTAAGTTTTATGTAAATATTTACCAATTGTTTAAATTTATTAATAAGTATTAAACTCATAGATTTAATGAGTGTATTCCAATATTATTTTAGTTTCGTTTTTAAAATAAAACAAAGCTCATGGGTCATGTCTGCAACAAAAGAAGCTATCATCAAAGTTGGTTTAGGTTCCGGTTCATTGATCGGTGACTTAACCCCAGAGTACCCCAATATCCGATGCGTGCGTGGCGGGATGGGGATGGGATGTGGATGGGGATGGGGATGGGGATGGGATCGGAGTAAAGTGGAGCAGTTCGGGCAAAGCCCCGATACCGCACACCCCAGCACCTAGCGGAGCGTGCCGAGCCGGGGGAAGTTGCTATCAATGGAGAAGAGCTTCTCGGGCGGGGCCAATTTGGCGCGCATTTTCAATGAGCATAGAAATTGGAGACGATCCGGACTTATCGCGGGGGGATGGAGATGCTGGGTGGTCGCGGCTGACGGCCCCCCGAAAGTAAGTGACTGGCCACCGAGCTGGGTTTGGTCACGTCTGGGGAACTCACAAATCGCTGGCCAGCTCAAATGGTGTTGCTATAAAAGCAATTTGGACACACGCTTGGGTTAATTAGTTTTCCAACCAGTCTGCTCCTCGCACCACAACGCCAAACCCGAAACCATGTCCGCCAGCCTGCGCCTGCTCTGCCTGATGGCCTGCACCCTCGCCGTTGCCCTGGCCCACCGTCCCAGCTACGGCCACTCCGGATACTCTGGCTATGATGCCGTCCGTGCGGCCGAGACCGCCGAGGCCCAGGCCTCTGCTCTGACCAATGCCGCCGGAGCAGCTGCATCCGCCGCCAAGCTGGACGGTGCCGATTGGTATGCTCTGAACCGTTATGGCTGGGAGCAGGGCAGGCCCCTTCTGGCCCGTCCCTATGGACCTCTGGACAAGCTCTACGCCGCTGCCCTGCCACCACGTTCCTTCGTGGCCGAGATCGATCCAGGTGGGTTTACTTTTCCTAAGCTTGAAATAGGTCATTAACTTTGCGAAAAGAAACTTTAAGAAAACTAACTTTAGGGAAATCTAATAGAAACAGAAAATGTTAAATATCTTTTTCATAGCCATAATCTAAGTTCAACTTTACTTATTTTCTTTTCAATTTCTATATTTCAGTCTTCAAGAAGAGCCACTACGGCGGAGCATATGGCGAGAAGTCGGCGGTTCTGAACACCGAATCCAAATTGGCCGTTGCGGCGATCTAAGAGCTGCGGTTGAAAAGCTCAGAAAAACTTAATAAATAGTGATAGCTTAAAGCAAGATATATGATTTTTCATTTTGGGAAAGGGAACATACATACCTTTGGATACAGATTAAAACCAAAAGGTTACATCTTAAGTCTCACTTTGAATATTGAATTCTATTGATCAAATGTTTAAAGTCACTTCTTGTTAGGTTTTTAAAAGAAACGTTTGAACTTAAATTTCGTAATACCCACCTGAGAAAGCGGCATAACAGAGCTCTGTGATTTAATTATTTATAGTGAATAGATCTCCCCTTTTTCTCAATACTAAAAACCCACTTAGTTCAATTGATTTTCACTTTGCATTTCTTATGTGTTATTATTATGTATAGAATTTCGTTTTTATTGCAAGATACAAAGTAAAAAATGTGAAATTTGCTCAGTTTTGTTGATGTTGATTTAATGTAAAATTCAAATTCGTTACGAGCACACAGAAATTTACCTACTAAACATAAAGTGAACTAAAAACAAATAGTAGAAGCGGTTGTAACTCGGTTAACTCGATGCTGCTGTGGCGTGCTTAGTGGGTTTTTGCTCATGGTGACGATTGCTCCGATTTCAGATTGGATCCAATCGAACGTTATTGTTCAGCCAACTCTCTTTCTCTCATCTCTACGTACAGTATATAGTATATAGTATATAATATATAATGGTATATAGTATATGGTATATGGTATATGGTGTTTGGTTTGTCTCTATCGCTACCAAAACTCTGCCAAGTTTTCGTTGATTTGTTTTTATTTTTGTTTTTAGGTTTTCAGGTTCATTATTTTAATTAAATTACATGAACTTCAAAATAGTATTATTATTATATAGATAGGATGTGTAGTGTTATGTATTTATAGTGTGTAGCCTATACGAGCCCCGCCTCCCACCGGTGTCCACTGGGTTCTTGGTCGCGCTCCATCCGGCGTTTGGGGGGGTGTGACAAAAAAATTTAAATTATAAAAACTTTCTCACGCAATTCTCGATCTCGATCTCGATCTCTGTCTCGGTCTCGTCGCCCTCCAGATCGACAATGAAATGATCTCGGTTCGGGTGCTGGCGCTGATGTTGGGGCACTCTATTCGGTGATCGTCCTTGTGGTCTCCTGGATGTACACCTGGGATCCGGGCACCGTCGAGGTGGTGACGAACGTGCGGTGCTTGGCGCGGATCAGGTTCAAGTTGGACTCGGCCACATCGGCACGGTCCTCGGCAGCCTCAAGCTCCCGCTGGAAGCGGCGGACACGGGTGGTGGTCTGCTGGGAGACGCCCTCCTGCTCGCACAGCTGGCGGCGGTAGATGTTGATCTTGGCAGTGGACTTGTCCAGAGCGTCCTGCAGCAGGATGAGGTTCTTCTGGTCCTCCTCGCACTGCACTATCACCTCCTTGACGGTGCGCTCCTTCTTGCGCAGGATCTTGATGGTCTCGGCGTGGCGGCGCTTCTCCTCCTCCAGCTCCAGCTCCAAGTCGCGGATGCGGGCCTCCAGCTTGCTGATGATGCGCTTGCTGCCGGCGACGGCGTTCAGCTCGACCTCCTCCAAGCGGATGGACAAGTTCTAGATGAGGATTTGGGATTAAACAGAGAACAAATAATATTAAATCCAATATGAATAGATCCAATGAATAGAAAGCAGTATAAGGTATTCTTCGATTCAGTACCTTGACTTCGACTTCCAAGGACTTCTTGATGGTCTCCAGCTTCACGATACGCTCCTGCTCCTCATGCACCTGCTCGACGACGTGCTTCAGCTCCACGGTGACCTTCTGGTAACGCTCGTCGCTGATGCGCAGCTCCTTGGACACCTCCTCGTAGTCGGAGGCAACGACGGACAGCTCCTGCTCCAGCTTGGACTTGATGGACACCAGGTTGACATTGGCAGTGGTCAGCTCGTTGATGCGAGTGGTGGCCTCCTCGTACTGCAGCTCGACGGTGCGCTTGGCACGGTTGGCGCTGTCCAGGTGGGAGCGGACCTCCTCCAGCTCACCATTGAGTCCGGCCAGGCGGCGCTGGGCAATGCCGTACTGGTCAAGGGTGGCCTGCAGCTGGCGCTGCACATCCTCGTAGTGGGCCTGGAGCTCGGTCAGCTGCAGCGACTGCTTCTTGATCACCTTCTGCAGATCGATGTTGGTCTTGTTGGCCACATCCAGGGACATCTCCAGCTCGGTGATCTGGATCTGCAGCTTCTTCTTGATGCGGGTCACCTCGGTCTTCAGCCGGGTCTCCGCCTCGATGACGCGGGCATTGAGCTGCTCGATCTCGATGGAGGTCTGCTTGCTGCAGTATGGAAATGTCCGGCATTATAGCAAATATGGAATAGATATTGGATAAATCGATATCGAGAGATCGATCCCCCTTTGGAAGTAGTAGCCCCTAGAAAAGCGGTGACACCGACGTCGATGACCCTCTGAGGTTTCGCTTTGCTGGCTCTATTTTTGGCCCCAATGCCTGACCCACAAAACTGCATTTTTCGCACCACTCAGCAGTCGAGCAGCACTCGCTCAGGTGGTGCTCTGGCATTGTCAAAAATGCTTCATTGTTTCACCCGCCACTGCATTTGCATTCGCGAATTTCGGTGTATTTTTACGCATGATAAAGACATCGAACTTGTCACAAATAGCTTGGGGATAACATGCCAAAGTATTTGC